ACCTGATATCTTTGACATGTATGAAAGTAGCTTGTGATTTTTGATATGGAGAGAGAGGGAGTGAGAGGTGGGGAGGGGCGTATCAGCCGCTGTTTTGGGAACTCCTTTTGGGTATGAAAGATGATGTCGAGATCCGGGGGACGAGGAGCCTGTGCCTGCTGCTGTCTGCCTATTTATTGGATTGACCAAAAGGAGGAGGAAGAGGAGGAGGCTTTCTGGTTTCTGTACATTTTCACTTTCTCTCTTCTCCGTTGGTTTTTAATGCTCTGGTTCTGGAATCTATTCGAGTTGTTCCTTTCCTCCTTGTACTTTCATGGCTTTTTAGCACTTTCATTGGCTTTTTAATTAATTGTGGGGCCGACTTCTGATTAATGGGAACCCCACAAAGCTTTTATGGCGCAGGGAATGGAATTGATACTTGTAGTTGACGTCCTACGTTGCTAGCTGCCTGCTCTTTGTAGGTGTCCTTATAGTGCTTTTTTGTTTTTTTTTAAAAGAACACATTTAAATTTTTTTGACTTTTTATGATTTTGATTAATATCAAAAATTAATATTTAAAAAATAAAACATTATTATTTCATTGTATTTCAAATGCCCTTTAAAAAATATATTCATTGCGATGGAGGCCCTTGCCAAAACAGCACCCGTCTGTCACTTTCTTCCCTGTTATTGCTCAGGGCTCTCCCTTCCTCATTTGCGTGTTCCTTCCTAGGGTTGCTCAACAACGCCACGCCATTCTAAATGGCTTGAAAGAATCTGAAACTATCCAATAAATAGCACTGATGTTCTTACATAAAACCCTAATGCTCCTATCAAATCAACTCCAATGTTAATTTTATTTTATTTTTTATCTGTGAAAATGAGGCAGCCGGATCCTCAAAGAGCGTGGTTAATTCATATCAAGGTGATGCTAAAATATCATGCAGAGGCTGACATTTGGTTTCACCCTGCTGGCTGGTTTTTTCAGAGTAATCATGCAAGAACCTAAATAAACTGAAAAGCACCAGGTATTCTACTGTTTTCAAGGGGACTAAGATTAACAATCAAGATCACCATCGTGTATCTTCTTCCATTGATCAGCCACTACTAATTACACTGCAAAAGATCACTACACTATCTATGATAGAATGCCTCGTCATAATACGTTCTTACATGAGAGTAATACAATATATTGGTATGACGCTGCTTCTCTTTCACAAACAATGTAAGTAGATCAACAAAAATGGAGATGTCATACCTAGAGTCATGCTTGAGCAATCCCCTTTTTCACTAACATATCATATACTCTATCCACTTTGCTTGATTCCACCTTGAACAGGCTATGAGCATCGGTTTTGTTGGCAACAGTACCCTTTGTTATCTCTATTGACATTATGTGTAGCATGTTGAGATAGTGTGCAGGTAGTATTCTCAACTCACAACAAAGACGCTTATCCTGCATGTAAAATAATATATCACAATTTACTCAAGCGAATCTGATGCTCGTTAAACAAGTAAAAGCATGCATGAACACACAATCACATCAGGCAATGATGCACAGGTTGCATTTATCTCCCAAAATCAATTTCAAACATAGCAAACATGAGATCCAACTGAAAGCATGAACAAATTCAATAACGTAAGTGTTAATAAGTTGAACAGCATTCTTACAGATTCAGAGAGCAAATCAGCCCCTTGGAATCCAGCAATATCCCACTCATCGAGGGTGCTTGAAATGGCTTGTTTTGCAATCATTGGAGATGAGTCATTGCCACCAGGATGAAAAATGGTGGAACACTTGACAGCTCCATGAGGGCTGCTGTCAAGATGATTTGGCTTTGGCAACAGTTTACCTGCTGGGCCTGCTTGCATACTTTCCTTCGCTCTCTGGGCATTTTCTTCAGCTTCCTTCTTTCTCTTCTGCTCAATAAATCCTTGGGCCTCACCAGCTGTTCGACAGCCAGCAGCTCGAGCTTCCTGCATCATTTTTTTGTCATATGCAGCAGAAATCACAGCTTGCATTTGGAATTGATACAAAGTGTGCCTAAGAATGCTTCCATACAAGTTTTACAAATACCAAGCAGCAGGAGCTGAAAGTTGACAAATCTTT